TTTTTTTTTTTCAGATTTGAATTGTTTCATTTGAAAGTAGCCATTTCACTCTCTATAAGTAGGGTATAAGGCAAGTATACACGGAGTTTCGCGCTCAAGTTCACAGAGGCCGAAACGGCAGAAAGTGCATCCGGTTTGCTTTCATTATTTTAACAAAGCGCAATGTTTTGTTGTTATAGTGAGTGCACACAAATAAACGTACAGGCTTTACAGATTTGAAAGATGTATTACTGTTATCCATATGAGCAAAATGACAAAATTAGTATTTTAAGAGCAAGTGACCGCACCGGCGCCTCCATCTATCATGCTGTGAGCGCGCTACTCTTCCGCTTTCACACTCCGCACAGACACTTGAATAGCGCACATTTTTCTAGGTTAACATTAGATTGAGTGGCCTTGTAAAGTTGCTACTACTTACATATTTCAGATGATAAGCCATATTTGCGGTCGATGAATGATAGACGAGCGTTTTGATGTACTGTATTACCACAAAATCCAGCCGTTAACGAGCTGTCCGTCACAGACTGCGTGACCTCACCACTTCCTGTGGATTTTTTTTCTTTTCTGTGACTAAGCGACTAATAAAATTTTGGTCGACCAAGCCTCTTCTCGACTATTAGGGGGCAGCCCTAGAGAAAGGTTTCTAAAGACCCAAGAACAACTGCCAATATACTAGTGATTGATTTAGCCAAGTCTGGGATTGATGTCTCAACGGAGATGGTCACTAGAGCCCTGCACAGGAATGGACTGTGAGGTTGCCGATGCCACTTCTGAAGAAGAGACACCTCCAAGCTAGACTGAAGTTTGCCAAGAAAACAGTACAAATGACTCTCTAATGATGAGTAAATATGATGCCCTTGTGACCCCTCACAAAATTAAATTGACAGATGAATGTCTCATAATTTTGCAGTTACTAAATGACACAAAGTACATGTTGAAAGAGTTTGTAAAAGCAGTCCTGACCGATAAGCAAACACACCCACAGTATAGTACATCAACAGGAAACACACATGCGTTTGTATTCATGATATCTAAGTGTTTCCTTTCACTCTTAATATCTGCTGCAGATGAAGTTGAGTTTGTCAGTTTCAGGACGGCTGATCCAGCGCTGATCTCCTCCAGACTGAACTGCTCCAGATCTCACTGTGTGTTCACAGTCCTCCTCTGATGTGCCGTTCCCTGGAGCCCAGTCCTGATAGCACACGGTCTCTCCACTCACCCAGAACCAGACGCCCAAAATGTGGGAGTGACGTAAACCCAACCACACCGCCACAGTAGATGCCCATTTAACCACGTTCATCACACGACGCTGAATCTCTTCTGAATGAACCGAGACCAGATCCACATGATTCTGTCTGCAGTATCTCAGAGCTTCAGACCACGTCAGATTCTCTCTGATCACAATCAGTTTATCTGGAAACCAAACAAAGCACAAGCAGAAACTAGAGAGAGACTGATCAAAAACAACATGCAGAACAAACACTGTGGATGAATGTGTCATGTCAGACGTGTAGCGTGAACTTTAAGAGATCTGGAGGTGATGGATGGATTGTGTGTGTTTTGTGAGGATCTACTCACCTTCATGACACATAAAAGGAAAACGGCTGTTACAAGAGATGTCATGCCATTGTTTCTGAGCTTTTGATTCAATCACTGCACATTTTTCATTACCTCCAGCATTATTAGGTTCACCAGGTTCAACTCTGAACGTGCGTGCTCTTCGCCGAGACAAACACGAAAGCAGAACATGCCCTTGAGTGTTAGAATCCAAACACGGAGGCACACATTCCCTAAAGCGCTGCTCGACTCGAGCGCTATCCGTGGGATCCAGTAACCCAAAAAGAGCATCTCAACCCTGCAAATCTCACGATCCGAGTTTTCGCCGTGCCTCGGCAACAGCGAGACCCGAACCGCGAGACGCAAACGCTTGTTACTCATCTCTCGAGAAGAGGGACAAACGTGAATGGAGCTTCTCATTGGATAACACTCACAATGAGCGCGTTCAGAGCCCTCGAGCACTGAACATGCAAGCTCCTGACCAAGACACATGACAGAAAGATCGTGCGTGTCCTCAAGTGCCAGAAACCTCTGGAACGGAGGCACACACTTTCCACACCGCTCACCTGCCTTGGTCTCTTTCACGCACTTCAAACAGATGGCTCCTGAAGACAGCAAAGAGGATGACGTATTCAGCAGTTGCCCTTTTATACTTCCGGGTACCCTGCCTATGACGTGATGGGCCAGGTGGGCCAGTAGATTGGCGTTGTTTCACACATGCTTCAGACACCGGTCATGCAGGCTGCATTCCCCATTGTGTCCCCTAGGGGATGCAGTGTTGCGAGTTCTACAACTATTTAACTTGTAAACTATCAGTATAGATAATCAAAATTTACACTAACACTTAAATACACTTTATACCCTAAAATTTAGTGGTTCACCAATATTGATTTTTTTGATGGCCAATGTCGATATCTTAGAGAATAGCGTGGCTGATATTACTATCCAAAGATTTGTTTAAATTACATAAATGCATATTTGCTGAATATTAACGTTAAATTAGAAAGTATTACAGTGTTTTATTACTAATAATATAAAAGCAAATGCTATAATAGTGTAATGTCTGATTACTTTTCTTAGGGAATTAATTATTACTAATTAATTCATGTTTTGAAAGGACTCGAATCCGAAGATTCGAAGTCAACCTGATTAGAACTGATTTAAAATTTGATAGTTTACACTTTATTAACGGTCGTCCAGCGAGACGTTAACCTCAGTATATTTTAACAATTTGTATATTTGTATTTTCCCTGGCCACGGTTTAATACGTTCTTTGATAAGTTATAAGCTACGAGCTAGGTAACAAGGATCTAGGCAGAGTTTTAACTTTAAAATTACAATGCAAGACAATGATTCTTTATAAATGAAACAAGAATTTATTGGCTATTCTAGATTACATCGACCTAAGCTAAGACATACACATACACATACACACACACACACACATACAGTTCTGAAGAATGAAAGTTACGGAGTTTGTATGAAGTTCCCAAAGTTCTAACTCGTTTTCACGAGTGGTTTTAAATTCAACCTGAGAGAATCACAAAGCAGAGGTTTGTCTTACGTTTACTGCTTAAATGGTTCAGCACCTATTTCAGCGGACAGAAGACCTTGTTTGTACTTGCGTTTGTTATGGCAGCTGCAACGGGGTTTCCTCGTAGCCAGAGGGAATTCCGGAGCTTCTGGTTGGTTGCTGAGATGACGTTTGGGTGACGTTGTTTCTGGGAATGTCCTCGGCGGTGATTGGTTGGTTGGTTGCCGGGTTGCGGAGGAGCCTCGAAGTTCTTCTGAGAGAGTCTGCTTTAGCAAGACTTTGCGTTCTGCAGAGTTACGAAGCTTCAACGGAGTAGTTGAGTTCTAGATGGTCGATCGCCTGATGGTTCAGCTTGTGAGCACAAGTTAGAGTGCTCTCCACACGGCGACAAGGCCTTGCTCGGGAGAGCAAGTGGCGAAGAGCCTGCGTTCAGGAGAGCAAGCGGCGAAAAGCCTTGAATCTGTGTTGCAGTGGGGTTTTGACCTGCAGCACAAGTCCGTCCCACGGCGCGCTCTTCCAATCGACTTGTTGAAAAGCGGGGCATGCATACCTT